TCTTGGAGACTCCATTGAAAACGATGTCTTGGGCGGAGTGCATCATTAAAAAACGCCGCCTCTACTTTGCCTCTTACCATTGCTTGCCACGCGCGTGCTCTGATCGGCTTCATCCGCTTCCGCCTCCCTCTTCTCGCGGTTCAGTGTGAAAGGACCCTGGGCAAGAGCATAGGTGTTATCCGCACTTTCAGGAAGCGGCTTTGCGCTTCGCCGCCTTCGCGTCACGCAGCCTTGCGCGCATCTAGAGTTAGGATCGGAGGCGTTTCAGATCTTGACCTTGCAGTGGAAAAACACATAAGGGTGCTTGTTGACATATTGAAAGGCTTCCAGGCTAAACCGCTGACATTGGTCGCTAGGGCTGGGATGGAACCTAAGTGTGTCATCTTCGTCCACTGAGCATCTGTGGGAAGAAAATTTCACCGTGATGTATAACCACTACGCAAACTCAATTTGAATTGGTATTTGCTACCCTGGGAATTATTAAAATGACAGCATAAAAGAATTTATACGTTTTCCACTTCTTCACTTTATTTGAGGCTGCGAAGAGGCTAAGAGGTTGGCGACCCACTAGCAAGTCGGGCTTCACCTAGCTGCCTACTTCACTGGTCTTGCCGCCGCTTGTCCCAGGCCATTCATGAACAGCAATACCCAGGGTAGAATATTACACTATTTGATTCTCAGGAATCACTTACTTGAGTTTCTTAATTTCTTGTTGCATTGGAAATGTTTGCAAAACAAACAACGCCATGTTAAGGTACTGCCTATTGGCCCATAGCTCTTACTTGAAGGGTTGTACATTATGGCTTTACCTATAGGCTTAGAACTAACCTTAAACTGCATAATATGCAGTACCACATGGAAGTATTTCTGATTGACCTTAATGGAATGATTTTAATGATGAAACAAAGCTAGTAATCCTTGACGAACGCCTTTGAGAACCAAGAGCTAACTCATTCCATGCACAATTCCCCACATAAATATAACCTGGACAGGCGAACATAATACTAGCGGCATAGCTATCAAATACTTTTCTACTAGGCTGCAAGAAGAGCATTCTCTTGATCTTTCTGGGAAATTAATCTCATAAAAGGAAAGATGTAATGTGATCATGAGTGAGTGAGAACTTTATTAAAGTGTCAAAAACCTTGTAGCCTGGAAATAATACACCATACTAACTTGGGGACACTGCTAAAAAACTATAGTAATACTAATATTAATACAATAAAAAAAATAAATGATTTGAAGGGCATTATGTGCAGCATAGGATGCAGCCCTTACAGCCGGTGTGATGAAGAAATAGCTTACCAAAGAGTTACCAGGCCACTATTTTACTGTTGTGTGCTCAGTTACCTGGCCTATAAATGCGTGTGAGGTCGGAGGTGACCTTGCTTTGATGCAAACCTTTGCTTTTCTCCTTTAAATGCCATCTAGTTAGCATTATAACAACTTGATTTACACAAAAAAGCAGAGAGGTCTGTATTAAAACAAGGTCACCTCCAGCCTCGCTGCCATTCAGAGGCCAGGTCACTGAGCAGACAACTGTAAAATGGTCTATTGTGTGGAAGACTTATGGTTTGGAAAACCTGCAGGCATAATCCTACCATCACAAAATTTCATGATTTTTGTTCCTCACTGGAAAGCGGGGTCAATGGAGAAAATCTGCTAAGATGGGAGACTGGGACTGACTTCTCCAGGTGACACTTACCCGTCGCTTATGACGTCATATCTGGGTTGTGAATCTCTGTCTTGGGAAGGAGTGGCATAGCAGTCCAAGGCCAGAATTGTCAACCGGTCGTCCTCCGTATCGACGCATGTCTCAAGGTATATTCGCTCTCGGATGTAAAACTCAACGGGGAAATCATCTTGGGTGAAAGGCGAGATAAAACTGCGGAAATAGAAGATTCATCACTTATCACACTTGAATGTTAATAATGTGCATTAGAGAAAGAAATTATTTCTCTGGCTGACAAAGCAAGCAAAGATAATTTCATACCGTGCAATTAATACAATGATTGCGTTATTATTTAAGGTT